AGAGAATTAATACAAAAAGGAGAAAAATGAACTTTGAAGTAACGTTTTCATTTTGTAGTGAATTTTCTCATCCATGTGAACACATACATTGTAGACATTTTAAAAGCAACATTTTCTATGTGGGTAGGAAGGTTTTTAATCATGTGAGGACTTTTTCATATTGAGATTAAAAATATAGTGTGAAACTTTGCATTTGCCATGAAACAGAAATGCTCAGTTTCAGGCTCAAGTAAACTCAAGCTTTCCCTGCAAAGATGAAGCAAACGTTATCTTTAACTTAACCAGGAGACTGGATAAGGTGGTCTCCAGAGGTCTCTTCCAACACCAACCATTCTGTGATTCTGTGAATGCTGCAAGCTGGTCCCACAAGTGCCAGTCTTTGTTGTATCAGTCTGATTCTGATCAGACTGATAAATTCCATCAGAAGTTTTGTGGATGAATCCAGACACATTAACATAAAGATTCTAAAAAATTACCCAACACATATAATGGAGTCCTCGTGTAAAGTTCTGCTCAGGAATCCAGCTTCTTACTTGGTACTTGTCTTCAAAATCCTCCTGATGGTCAGCAGCTAATGAAAACAAGATTAACAATGGCCATTTCAATAACAGCTGTAAACCTCAAAGCACTTTGTGAACTGAACAGACTCCTCTAAGGTGTACAGACCTGTACCATCCATTAGAGAAATGCAGCTCTTTCTGGGGTAGGAACAGGACTTTTGTGCTCAGCAATTCTCTAAAGAACTACAGCTAAGGCATGAAGGTAAGCAGCTGAAAAGTGAGCCCAGTTTCGATTTTCAGGTAGGCTGAAAATGAATTTTTCTCTCAGTGTTGCCTAAAAACTATACTTAAACTTTGAAAGAATCATTTCTATTTGAATGAGAGGCAGTAAGCAGAATTTTGCTCTTTTGCACTACAAAATGGCATTGGTTCTGAAGAGCAGTACTGCAGTATCAGGCAAGAGAAGTGGTGGAAGGAGACAGCATGGGCTGCAGGATCATCTGTGTCAGTACACAGCATGAACTCCCATTCCCACTGAGCTTAGGACTGTATTCCAGTTTCTCTGTTTAGGTAGGAAAGTCCTTGGTGCTTTCATTTCTCTGTCTCTGAAATGAGATCTCTCCTTTGTAACACCTCTGATGAGAAGCCCTCCTAATGGATGGGCATTTTGTTTTGCTTCTGACTGAACAACAGCGATTGCAGGAGAAGCGTGTCAGCGTGAACTGTGCTGCTGCTGGAAGACGTGCTAAAATGCAGGCACAGCAAATGACCCCGTGGAAAAAAAAACAAAACAAAAACAAGTGGTTTTTGTCTGCCCGGGGAAGAATCAAGTCTTCCTATGGCATTCTGCCATGGTCTCAGGGGATGCGACACAAGGTGGTGCCTTGGGATAATTCAGAGCCAAAGAAGTTTCTTCTTAGCACCTTCTCTTGAGAAGCTCCTTCAGTTCAGCACTACATGAAATGCATTTTTTAAAGCAGTACTTGCGGGTTCTGCGCTTAATTACAACATAACCTTTGCAAACATAATGTCTTTTGACTGACAAGTCATTCCAGCAATCATTCCACTCAATTAAGAAGTCCACACCAGTTGGTGAAAGCCTCAGTAACTTCTGACATGCTGTGTAACTGTCACACAAAGCAAAGAGATATTTTGTCCTTCCATTTATGAGGTTTGCTTGAAGACAGACATGGTACTCTGCGACATCTGGAGGGAGAGCAATACTGGAGAGAATTTATGAATCACATAGAAAGTCCTTCCTGCACTTCCCCATTATTATAAGTATAACCTAAACCAGAAGAAAAACGGGAAGAAAGAATAGGCTGTGAGGGACCTGACATGTTTAGCTGGGGAAAAGGCTGCAAACTCAGAAGGCTTTGGCTTTTAATGACAAGTGGGCTACGTTTGCAGATAGGAGCTCCTTGGGAAATTATGGAGGTAAGTCTGGCTGTCTTTTAATGCAGACATGTAAAGGTCAGCTGTATCACACACCAAGGGTGAATATTTCTTTTTTATCCATAAGCCCGAGGTTTATATGAAGACTTACAGAAGGGTAGATAAGTAATTAATACATTATTCTAACCATGGGCAAAAGAGGAGAAAAGAAGGTGGATGCTGTTCTGACTGGCCTGGTTTTAATTTATTCTGTAGCAATTGTGATTCTGGATGACTTCACTGATGGTTGAGATATTCATCTGATTCACTAAGGAAATGACTCTTCTCTGATCACTCTTTTTGTTTGTTTCCCCGTTCTACTCTCTGTACTAGGAAATCACTCCTGGTGGATGCCAAGGAATTGCTTAGGAGGTTTTTACTTTGCTTGGATCCAAGCCTGGCCAGCACCTTGCTATTTACATGATAAATGGACTGAGTTCTGCTGCCTGGGCTGGTGTCTGGTACAGCTAAATGTGTTGGCGTGGCCTGGCAGAGAAAGATGGCTGGATGGACAGCTGAGGAGTGGTCACTCCATTTTGGAAGGTAAGAGAACTTCACCATATGGACACGACCAGCTCAGATCATGCCGAAAGGCCTCCAGTTAGCAAAAAAGCCCTGGCACCGTTTAATTTACTAACAGAGTTACTGGATAAGCATAACTGTATGACAAAATAGCACCTGGAAGAGCCCAGCTTCAATCAGAGAGCAGAAGATCAGGCTGCCTGGGGAGGTGGTGGAGTCATCATCCCTGGAGGTGTTCAAGAGCCATGTAGATGTGGTGGCAAAGGACATGGTTTAGAGGGGAAATATTGGTGGTAAGGTGGACAGTTGCACTGGATGACCTTGGAGGTCTTCTCCAACCTTAGTGATTCTGTGAATAAACCTATGGGAAGGGTAGGTTGATGTTACCAATAAAACAGACCTGGGAGCCTGCTTTGGCCATGCAGTAACGTAACAATGGAATGGATTTAGTCTATACCACTTAAACTAATCTTTTTCACCTTGAAAAAACAGGTGACTAAGTATAAAGTGCTCACTGAGAACAATTCCAGAGCGAGGTGACTCCTGAGCTGTGCCCTGGAACTGTTTGGAAGAGCTTTAATTGCAACATGCAAAAAAACATGCCAAGAACCAGCTGAACAATTAACACCCAGTCAAAAGCAAAAACATTTTCCCTTTTGGGTGAGGTGGCTTAAAAGTCAAGCTCTGATTATCATATCTTCAACTCAAGATTCAATTCTAATGTCTGTAAACAATCTTTTCCATAAATAAACCATATGTAGCATACTTTTGGAGGTTATGGATGCCCCATCCCTGCAGGCATTCAAGGCCAGGCTGGATGTGGCTCTGGGCAGCCTGGGCTGCTGGTTGGCGACCTGCACACAGCAGGGGTTGGGACTGGAGGAGCGCTGAGGGCCTTTGCAACCCAGGCCATTCTATGGTTCCACGATTCTATGAAATCTCATTGCGATGATCTGAGGAAACACTGCAGTGAATTGGTTCAAGACAAATCAATGGATAACTTGGAACTGTCCCTCCTAGTGGTTTCTCACTATTCAACAGGTACAAATGGTTCGATCCAAGCATCAAAAAGACAGAGTGGTTACAATGGATTTCCTGCATTTTAGTCTCTCTTTCAAATCTGGGTTTTGTATATTTTGAAAGACGCCTTTGAAAGGGAACAACAAATGTGCAGGATATCAATAGCAGTGATCATTACAATTGATGTGAAGTATGCTTCCTAAATTTCTATCTAAAAAGCAGATCTTGTCTGCCTCCTTTTCCACAAGGGACGCTCTGAACTAGCTAAACAGGGACAGGGCTGTTTGCGAGTTCTCATGTATTTCTGATTCTTTCACTGCAGAGCCTTTATCTGAGCATGAGCACAGCCTCAGAGCATATGGCCCCACAGAGAGGGCTATAGCGCCCTCTGGTGGATGTTCGGATGGTTTTGGCATGAGGAACATTGCTGTTACACTTTTCTCTCCAGCCTTACATAAGAAATTTGTTACTTAATTACCTTATTATAAGGTACTGAGAGTTGATTGGCAGCGCCTGAAGGCTCATCAGAACAACTGACAGCAATCACTTCAGAGCAAATACAGAATGACAGAATCCCAGCATGGCCTGGGTTGCAAAGGCCCACAATACTCCAGATCCAACCCCCTGCTGTGTGCAGGTCGCCAACCAGCAGCCCAGGCTGCCCAGAGCCACATCCAGCCTGGCCTTGAATGCCTGCAGGGATGGGGCATCCACAGCCTCCTTGGGCAACCTGTGCCAGTGCCTCACCACCCTCTGCATGAAAAACTTCCTCCTCAGATCCAACCCAAACCTCCCCTGTCTCACTTTAAAACCATTCCCCTTGTCCCATCACCTCCCACCCTCACAAACAGCCGTTCCCCTCCTGTTTATCCGCTCCCTTCAAGCACTGGAAGGCCACAATGAGGTCTCCCCAGAGCCTTCTCTTCTCCAAGCTAAACAAGCTCAGTTCCTTCAACCTTTCCTCATAGCAGAGTTGCTCCAGCCCTCTGGTCATCTTAGTGGTATCACCAATCTATTTTTTAGCTTAATTTACTTTCCCTTGCTGCCTTTTCTCCCAGCAGCCAAACAAAGCAGGAAGAAAATCTCCTGTCGCTCTGTACAACAACTGCTAACACCTGCACTGCCTTGGGCTGGGACGCAGTTACCTTCAATCATAGAATAAGAGTGGTCTGTGTTGGAAGGGACCTTTGAGATCACCCAGTTCCAACCCCCCGCTGTAGGCAGGGACACCTCCCTCTAGACCGGGCTGCTCGCAGCCCCATCCAGCCTGGCCTTGAGTGCTGCCAGGGATGGGGCATCCACAGCCTCACAGGGCATGCCATTGCAGTGTCTCACAGCACAGAACCTCTTTCCAACACCCAGCCTCAACCTGCCCCTCTCCAATCCAAAACCACTTCCCTTCGTCCCGTCGCTAATTCCATCCCCTCCAGGGACGAGTATGCTTATCATTACGATATTGTTATTATTAAGAAGCTTTTAGACCCAGTCTCAGCGGACGGCTACGTTACTGACGACAACAAAAAGATGGCCGCCAGGCCTGAAGGCGGGACTCCAACCGCCGCCCCGCTCCTGGGAGCACGCCTAGCCAGGCTTCAGCCCCTCACAGCGGCGCGGCGCAACGTCCGGATCCCAACGCCCCCCGCTCCGTCCAATCAGAAGGCGGCAGTCGTGACCTTTCCCCCCGGAAGTTGTTCCGCGCGCAGGCGTGGTGGCGGTGCGGAGGAAAGGCGGCCGTTGCTGGCTGGTGTTGTGGGGTTGGCCGCGCTCGCGCCGAGGATGGCGGTGTCGGTGGAGCAGGCGAAGCTGGAGGACGAGTTTAGCGGTAGGTGCTCCACTGAGGAGCCGGCAGGGCTCGAGTCGCGCTGCTGCGGCCGTTCTGTGGTTGCGGTTGCGGGTTGGGGGGGGAGGGGGAGGAAAAGGGGGAGGGAGGAGAAGGAGTGGCCGCGTCTTGGGCTGAGGGAGCGCCGTGCCTGGGGGCTGCACTACGTGTTCTTTCGTTTCAAGGGATTGGGTTACTGAGGGAGTTTGGGGAGTAACGTCAACGCGGCGTTCTTTTCTGTCTTCAGAGCCGGAGCTCTTTGAAATCCTTCTCCCGGTCACCGTGTTTGTGTTGAGCGATGAGGAGTTCCTGCAGGCCCAGGAGCAGGTGGCGATGGTTCCAGAGCTGAGGGAGGAGCAGCAGGAGGCTGCTGGGAGTTGCTGTGTGTCGGAAAGCTGCCTGAGGCCATCAAGTGGTAGTAAGGGTTTAAATATTTGGGAGGAACTGAATGGGACCATAAATCAGAACGGCAGTGTGGAGTGCTCTGAAGAAGAACGGATCCCTGAGAGCGTGTGTAACAATTCAGAGTTATCTATAAGCAGTGGGATAAGCAAGGATGCACAAAGTCACAGCGCTGCTTTGCTGACGTCGCCATGTCAAACTGAGCTGGCAAAGATAAGTGAAGTGAATGGCAGGAAAGTGTGTAATGATAATGATGCCATTCCAAAGATTCCTCTCCTCTCTGCTGCTGACAGTGAGGGTAGAGATGAGACCACCGACAGCTGTGGCCAGCTGGTGTTACCAGAAACATGCAGAGATGAAGAACTTGCCTGTGTTCTGGGTGTTCTTTGTGATGAAAGCCAAGAGAAGCAACCTCAAGTACACGAGGAGATTGGGACAGCCCTTGAAGTGGAAGGTAACTTGTTAATAAGAGTTGTCCAAGAGTTGAAGTAAATTTCTAGTTTGAAATAGGTGGGAAAATGTGTAGGAAGAATGCAAAATAGTTTATGATAGATTAATCATTCCAACATAGATTAAATTCCTGTGCACCCGAATCACAGAATGGCCTGGGTTGCAAAGGAGCACAATACTCATCTGATTTCAACCTCCTGTTGTGTGCAGGGTCACCAACCAGCAGACCAGGCTGCCCAGAGCCATATCCAGCCTGGCCTTGAATGCCTGCAGGCATTCAAGCAGATATTTTCTGGAGTATGCATAATGCTTTCACAGACTGATGTGGTAATTATTGAAACCAAAAGGAATTGGTACCACTTCATTTTTCTGCAACTTGTGAAAGAGGGGAGAAGATTTGTAAACAAAAACTTGGGGAACAGGTGGGGTTTTTGCATTTCTTTTTTCTTTTTTTTCTTAGATACTACAGAAAGCACAGGGAAGAGTACTTGCCTTTTAGACAAAGTAGATAGCAGAATGTCTCCTGAGGAATGGCATTGCAGCACACTTCAATGCTTTGACAGGAATTCTGGTGTAAACCTATTCCATGAAAACATGGTGTTGTTCTGTTCAATTCAGAGCTTTGAGAGAAAAAGCACAGCGGAAAGAAAGAGACTCCAAGTAGAACTTCTCTTAAAACAATGGTAAATGTTATTGAGGGAGAAGTGTGGAGAGAGGCGTTAGGAAAGAAGTGGAGATTAGAAAGCATTTTCTTAGGGGAATAAAGAGCAAGGAAGCGTATTAGGCTGTTTTACATTATTACTACCAATTAATTGTGAACTTCAGTTGTTGTAGGAAATGTCATGCAAAAAAAAATCTTTTTTCTTCTTTTATCTCCGTAGATGCCGATTCTTTGAGGAATGGAAATAATGAAGCTAACAGCAAAACAAAGAAGGGAAGCAAATCTGAGGATGAAACTCTGAGTTGTGTTTTGCAGCATGGTTTGAAAGAAGAACCAGAACTGAGTTTCGATCAGTTTATTCATAGATGTTCTACTAAAGAAGAATTGCAAGAAGGGCAACTGGAGATAAATGCTTCTGTTTCTGCAGTATCAGCTACTCCTGAAGAGCATATTTATAAGTCATTAACGCCTGTTTGTAAGAAAAGATGTCGGCAGCAACGTATCGTTTCCCCTCGTGAAAGGCCAAATGAAATTCAAGGCCAGCAAGAAGATTTAGCATGGCTAAGTCATAGCATGAGCATCAAACCTCTTCCTAAAGCATCTTGTTCTACTGATAAGCGTGATAAAATCAATTTTAATTGCAAATTTTGTAGTTCTGCATATAAAAGCTCTGCGCTTCTGAAGAGGCACATTTATTCGGCTCATAAAAATAAAAAAACACATAAATGCAGCTTTTGTAAAAAAACCTTCTTCTTTTCTGTCAACCTGAAGAACCACCTTAAGCTTCATAAGATGAATAAGTTGCAAAAGGAAAGAAAAAATAAAATGAGTGCTAGAAGAGTTAGGCAAAGAACTGAAGAAAGAAAGCTGGAAAGAAAGAAAAAAGAAAGTAAATATGAGAAATACTTCATCAAAATTGAAAGAGATTTTACATCTCTGGGCGTCCCAGTTATTTTTTCCTGCAAACTTTGCTTTTTTGATTCATCAAATCCTAGGATTTTTATTCATCACATGAAGGCACATAAAGAGAGACCACCTTACCAGTGTCCTCAGTGTGATTACTCTTGTCCTACCTTATCTTACATGTTAAATCACATGTACTGGCATGCTGGTTATAAGCTGTACAAGTGCAGGTTCTGCACCTTTTTTTCACTGTATTTTGCCAGCATGGTTAGGCACAGCTACATGCACACAGGGCCAAAACCATATTCCTGTGAGTTCTGCCAGTCAGCATTTACAAGCATCCGTGGGTTAAAGAGACACAGAAGATTGCACGTGAGTGAGGAACCGTGCAAAGTCAGCTTTGGAAGTGGAAGAAAGAGAACTCGGAAACCTTCCAAGAATTACACATGTGATGAATGTAACGTGCTTTTTTATACTAGAGGTCATCTCAATTTTCATAAGAAATGCCATGAACAGCTCAAGGTGAGTGCTAATGCTTATATGAATCAGAGCAATGAATATCTTAAAAGCGAAGGATGCAAAATTGAAAGTGATTCCAAGGGCTGTGTTCCTGGACCTCTTTCTAATGAAGATGATAGTCTCACTGGGGGAGTGTGTAAAACTCTAGCTTCAAAAATAGACTTTGTGCAGGCAGGTGATGTGCAGGACAATAAGAAAATGTGCCCTGGAAGGGCGTTTACCAAAAACAGCCACTTCAAGAACATTTCACCTATTTTTGGGAGTAGATCAGAAGTTCAGGATTCGTACAAAGTGAACACTGTAGTTTACAAAGAAGACCCTCTCTTCAGCCCTGAAACCTCTCATTCGCAAAGTGAAGACAGTAAAAACAATGCTGCATATTCTAAGTCCAGGGATATGTGGCCTTCCAGTTTGTCTGTGTTCAAACTGTACAAGTGTAGACACTGTGATTATGCTACTGCTCTTCATAGCAGCTTTAAGCAGCACCTTAAAATACATGCTGATAAAGGACAGTTTGTGTGTCATGAATGCAACAAGACTTTTAAAACTTCAAACCGTTTGCAGAGACACAGGCTGCTTCATGTCAATGATCAATATGAATTCGGCCATTACTTCTATGCAGACAGCCATCTGGAGAATCTTGGATTGCATCATGAAATGCAGGTAGGCACGTGTCCAGAAAGTGATTTTGGCTCCTCACAGAGTTTCGGTGGAGTCTGTTCGATGCTTGGTTCAGGAATGTATGGAGAACAGACAGATACCAAGGCAGACAAAGATGATTTGCTAGCGCAGAGTGAGCCACGATTCTATCAGTGTGCAGAGTGTGAGTACTCTACTTACATCTTAAGCAACCTCAAACTACACATAAGGACTCACACAGGTGAGAAACCTTACAGCTGCAGCGTTTGCCAGAAGGAATTTCGTACCTCCAGTCACTTGAAACGGCACCAAGTCCTGCATTGCAATACGGAGCATCTCAAGTGCAGGAAGTGTGACTATTCAACAAACAAATGGCTGTCCTTAAAACAGCATCTGGCTTCGCACGCTGCGAATGAAAGCTCATTTCCTGGCTCTCTCAGTGAACAGAAGCCACTACCTGTCAAAACGTACACGTGTGAAGAGTGTGGCTATATCACAGTTCACAATGGAAACTTCAAGCAGCACCTGAGAATTCACACGGGGGAGAAGCCATTCAAGTGTGGGCAGTGCGGTGTTGCTTTCCGCACGTCCAGCCACCTGAAGCGCCACTTGCTGGTTCATGTGAAGTTTCACTGCAGAAAGTGTGATTTTTCTACAGTAGATAAATGTGCTTTCCAAAAGCATGTAAAAATGCATAAAAAGAAAAAAAACAAAAGTGCAGCAACTGTAATGTGATGTCCAGTAAGAAGCTTTTAGAAAATCATAAGTAGCAATATAATTTTAGAATGTAAGCTTGGGGTTTGCAAGCTAATGCTCAGTTCTAGAGAGCTTTGCATGTCCCAGGTTTATTTATTTCTGTACATTTCCTTGCTGTACCTAGAAATGTGGCTGTTAGTGGACAAAGCCAGTGTTGTGGTCAGGAGTGCAATTCAGAATTCTGCTTTGCTCCAGCTTCTGCTGTGAACTTATTTCTAGTGAAGACTGAGCTCAAGACATTGGAACACCTCTTCATACCTGCATAGCTGAAAAGTTATTCTGTAAGGTCAGAGTTATGAATTGGCCCGTGTTCATCAGCATAAACAGTTTTATGCCACTTCCTTTCATGTTTAAAAACAAGTCTAACTGCAGGAATGCTTAAAAGGAGGGATAAAAGTTCACACTGTATCATATAGTAATCGTTTTTCAGTTAAGAATTATTAGTATGATTTGAAGCTTACTCCCACCTGCTCCAAGTTGTGTTCCTTGCTGCCAGGCTCTCCCGTAATACTTAACAAGAGAACAAGTTTGTATCTCACAAAATAGTAATGTCATCACTGGTCAAGAGTGCTGCAGAAGTATTTTCTGTATGTGTATAAATGTAAAATGTTTTTTAGGTAGTTCATTATGTCTGTAGTTGCTCCTGATAATTCTTTCAGTAGTTTCACAGGAATAGTAATGTTTCTCTTAATGAAATATTTTATGATACTGAAAATCCTTAAGTTAATCACAAACTTCGTGGAGATGTCTAATGTTACTCTAGTATGAAATGCCTTGTCTTTTCTCAGACTAGTAATTACTGTACTCTTTGTTTCTTAAAATACACTATGTCATTCTGTTTGAAGATCCTTTCTGCTGATGTAAATATTTGCTGACGGTGTAAATTGAAAACACCATCATAGAATCCTTAAGGTTGGATGAGACCTGTAAGATTGTCTGGTCCAGTCTTTGAACGGTAAAACTTAGGTTGTTAAAAAGGTTTGCTGTGCATCTAGAATACATCTAAGGGACCACTTGTGTCAAACTGCAGTTGTATTGCATGATAAAGATTCAAACTTCAAATATTTGCGTGTTTAACAGTGATGTTGTGCTTGAAACTCTGGACAGCAGTGAATGTATGTTCAGTGGTATTTATGAAAGCACTATTACCCTCTTGTGTGCAAAAAGAACTGCAAAGGAGTGGTGGTCGTTTTTCCTAATGTTACAGTTCATCCCACGAAACAGCAGAATAACCCTGTAGCTTAATTTAGAGAATTTAAACGTGAAATTGCCATTGCTTTTATTATTGTTCTCAAACTTAAGATTTTCTTTATAAGCACAGATAATATTTTGCAGTGACTTTCTGGTAGTGCAGGAAAACAGTTTTTCAGAGGTGGATGGAATCGCATGGATTGATGTTCTGGCGATAAGCTGGAGGGCACTCTTTGGAAGAGGGAGGACAATGAAGATCTTAAGGTGACTGAGCCAACCAGCCGACACTGTTGTGAGAAACAATACCCTAATAGGGATAAATGGAGGTGTTCCTGGGAAGCAACAACAACACTGTTGTGCAGATTTGGAGGTTTTTTAATCTTGATTCTCCTCAGGTGAAGAAAGCATCGCAAGAACAGATGCGAAGAAGAAACAGAAGCACTGAAGAGAATTGGAAGCCCACACATGTGTAAGGCTAGGAAAGCTAAATCTGGAGGAAAGCAGTGTTTTATAAGTATGTTGTACATACATGGAGGATCCAAATTTGTAAAGAGTTTGTAAAGAGCAGAAGTTTTGTTTAGTTGCAGATGGGGGCAAGAAGATATTTGCAGGTGGAACTTAAGGTTGTCAAGCATCGTTATTGCAGGTGGTTGCTGCTAGTAATGAACATTTGGGGCAGAAATGATTCTCTGTCTTCCACCTCAGAGACGTTTGGAGGCAAAAGTGTGCTCATTTTTAAAATAAAAGTGTAGTTTGCTTTGTTCTGCGCCTGCGTTTGTTTTAGGGGGAACGGCTGAAATGGCTGTGTGCTCAGGGGCCAGAGCCTGTCCAAAATCACGATGGATTTTGTAATCAAAGCGTTTATTATTTTGCTGTGAGTGCGACTGTGTGATGCGATAGGCAGTCGTACGCTGGAAAAAGCAGAAGGTTGATCTTGATAGCGCCCAATCTCGGGCTGTGTTTCCCCAGGAAGCTAGGGCGCTACGGCGGCACGTTCGACTCAAGGAGCCAGCAGTCAGCACTGAAGACGCACATAAATAGGATAAATAGCTGACGGGGCGATGCTCAGCCCGCGCTCAACCGGCCCCCTCAGGCACCTCTCTTCAGGAGGCTGCGGCGCATGCGCAGAGCGCCCCACCTCTGTCCCATCGCGCAGTACGCATGCGCACGCACCGCGCTCCCTCCCCCTCGCGCCCTCACGCCTGTGCGCCTGCGCACAGTGCCAGCGGCGCTTGCGCGAGGGTGGGCCGGCCCCGCCGTAGCGAGCGGCGTTCCTTTCCCATCGCCGCTTTTTCTCCGCAGGAAATCGATCCCCTTCGCCGCCAAGATGCCGCGGATTATGATTAAAGGCGGTGTGTGGCGGAACACCGAGGTAGGACTCGGTTCGTTCGGTTGGGCCCCGGCGGTTTGTGTGTGGTGTGTGTGTGTGGTGTGTGTGTCGGGGGGAGGGGGGACTGCTTTGCAGCGGTGGGCAGGCGTCGGCGGAGGGTGGTGGTGCGCATGCGCAGTAGGCAGCTCGGGGCACAGACTGCTGCTAGCGTACCTGGCCCAACTCTGTCGCTGTCAGTAGAGCTCAGTGCTGCTCTTCAGCTCCTTCTCTGCTATGGAACAGACCCGGTTGCCTCAGCCACTCCTCACGTATCTTGTTCTCCAGACCCTTGTCCTCAGCAGCGGCTGGGGGACGTGTATGGGTTGTATTGCATCCGCAGATGTCCTTTTCTCAGGCTGGAGCGGGCCTAATAGTGTGTAGGCAGAGTTGTTGCACCCCGAAGGTGGTTGGAGGGGGTGGGAATGTGACCTAAAAGCCCTTAATGTGTAAATGAGTGCTCAGGGGGGACATTCAAAAGCAGGCTGGGTGGGACTCTGGGTAGCCTGATCAGGTGGTTGTTTACTCTGCACATAGCAGTGGGTTGGAACTAGATGAACATTGTGGTCCTTTTCAACCCAGGCCATTCTCTGATTCTGTGACCTTGTTACTCTCTACAGCTGTTTGAAAGACTGTGTAGCATGGTGAGGCCTGGCCTCTTCTTCCAGGAGACAGTGAGAGGATCAGGGGTAATACCTCTGAGTAGTGCCAGATGAAGTTCAGGCTTGATATTAAGATAAATTTCTTCTCTGAAAGAGTGGTGAGACATTGGAACGGGCTGCCCAGGAGGTGGTGGGGTCACTCTGCCTGGAAGTTTTAAAAAAATGAGTAGACGTGATAAGATAGGTGATATGATTCTATGTGGCACTGAGGGACATCGTTACTGGGTATGATGGAGGTGGGCTGACTGTTGTATTAGATGATCAGAGACTCACAGAATGGCCTGGGTTCCAAAGGCTCACAGCGCTCCTCCAGCTCCAACCCCCTGCTGTGTGCAGGTCGCCAACCAGCAGCCCAGGCTGCCCAGAGCCACATCCAGCCTGGCCTTGAATGCCTGCAGGGATGGGGCATCCACAGCCTCCTTGGGCAACCTGTGCCAGTGCCTCACCACCCTCTGGGGGAAAAACTTCCTCATGATCTTTGAGATCTTTTCCAACTTCAATCATGTTATGATTCTGTAAAACAATGAGGATGGCTATGAGCTCATCACCTGCAGCCCAGAGTATTTTATCCCTAAGAATCTACATCTTTCAGAAAAATAAAACAAACAAAACACAACTCCCTTGCTCTCGTTTTTGCCACCACATGCTTTCAGAACTGCACATGGTTGTGAGAAAGAGAGCAATAGCACATTTCAAGGATGTAAAAATTTGTTATTAGGTGTTCAGAGGTTTGACACTGTATAATCCAGAATTCTGCAACAGTATACTGCAAAGATCAAATCTGTATGTGATTCCAGAAAGCAATGAGAAGAATCAGTGAAAGATAAATATATTATGTACTTTATGGGCTTTTAAGCACTTGAGGTGTATGGCAGCTTGTTAATTGTTTCTAAATTGGAGGTCTGCAGAGGGTGCTTACTCTCTTTTTGTGGTCATCTAGAATTGTTAGAAGAAACAGCAATAGGTCATATAGATCTTTGTTTCACTCCAGAGATGAAATAGCATTTTTAGTGCTATTTAATTAACATTGTGGTTCTATGTGCAGCATTAAAAATGCTCCAAATGGAACAGGGTGGTATCAGGTCCTTAGGAAGATGGCTGGTTGTTTGCAAAAGCACCCACCACTATTGTAGGCAGTATGGCTTTTGCATTGCCATGTAACACAAGGGAAAATTCAGAAGCCAAGGAAGGATTTAGAGATGTTTGGTAATGCTATTCTATAAATAGAAATAATTTATGAATTGTTTCCTGCAGGAGCTCAAACCAGAGCTCATCATCGTCTGGACTTAAAGCTGCTGTGTGCTTCTGTGCTCTGAGAGCTGTTTGTGCTAGACAGAGGATCTGTCCCTGACGAGTAGCATCTGCACCGTGCAGCTGAACAGATTCTGAGCACAGCTACACGCGCTTATTAGGATTTAGAAGAGGAACATCTGTGATGTAGAAGGCTGTGCAAATAGCTTTGGTGCACTTAAGTATCACTTTCTGACCTGTGAGGTTATCAGAAATTGTGAACCTGCTTATTTGAGGGTAAAGGAGAGAGAGGGGCTGATGGGTGGATTGAAAGACAGTTGGTAAGATAAGATATGTAGCTTTTGATCAGATCTCAGTGCACAATTTGTTGCATGTGGGCAGCCTGGCTCCTATTCTGTTTTTTTCCCCTCTAAGTCTGTGGGCTTTGGGATCTGCTCTTCAGCATGTAGCATTCTAAACACTGAGGTGATATATTTCAAGGTAGACAAAGTTCCTTGTTTTTGAAACACCATATTCAATTAAATTAACCCATGCCAAAAAAAGGTGTTGTTATGGTATTATTTAAAAGAAGCCACCCAGAGGCATGTCATTTTATTTTATCATTACCAAACTACCTCTTCACCTCTGTTACTCAAGGAAGATGTACAGAGCCTTTAAAAACTGCATAAGAGAGCATTGAAACCAATCATTCCAGAAGACTTGTGAAGTAGACCACGGTAACCATCCCTCACCTTTTTCATACCTTGTCTTCTTATTGATTTTAGTGGTCTCTGGAATGCAAATCCTCATGTACCTGGAAAGTAAAATGTGTAGAAGGAGTGATGCTATGCTGTTCCAATTGGGCAGCCCATTAGATAAAACCCGTTGTGTTGTTTTCTTGAGCTCAAACTTGCCATTTTGCCAGTTGTCATTCTTCATAACAACATGCATGCTTTTCGTTCTAAGGATGAAATTCTGAAAGCAGCTGTGATGAAATATGGCAAAAACCAGTGGTCTCGTATTGCTTCCTTACTGCATCGGAAATCAGCAAAGCAGTGCAAAGCCAGATGGTAAGTGGGGAACTCCACAACTGGGAGAATTGGATTCATAATTAGTGGGAATTTAGAAGTAACTGCAGATGAATTCCTGTCTGCAGAGAAACTGTAGTTTGGAGATTGTTTGATTACTTCTCTTGTGAATAACACACATTCCTATTGATTGAAAGTAATAGCACAAGGAAGATGTGAAACTCCTGGAGTGGGTCCAGAGGAGGGACACTAAGATGATCAGAGGGCTGGAACACCTCTCCTATCAGGAAGGGTTGAGGAAACTGGGCTTGTTCAGCTTGGAGAAGAGAAGGCTGTGAGGTGACCTCATGGTGGCCTTCCAGTGCTTGAAGGGAGCGGATAAACAGGAGGAGGAATGGCTGTTTGTGAGGGTGGATGGTGATGGGACAAGGGGAATGGTTTTAAAGTGAGACAGGGGAGGTTTAGGTTGGATATGAGGAGGAAGTTTTTCCCCCAGAGGGTGGTGAGGCAGTGGCACAGGTTGCCCAAGGAGGCTGTGGATGCCCCATCCCTGCAGGCATTCAAGGCCAGGCTGGATGTGGCTCTGGGCAGCCTGGGCTGCTGGTTGCTGACCCTGCACACAGCAAGGTTTTCAACCCAAGCCATTCTATGATTCTATGAAATCTCATTGTGATGATTTGAGGAAACACTGCAGTGAATTATTTCAAGACAAATTGATAGATGACTCAGGACTGTCCCACTGAATGGTTTTTCGCTTTCCAACAGGTACGAATGGTTAGATCCAAGCATCAAAAAGACAGAGTGGTCACGAGAAGAAGAAGAGAAGCTGTTGCACCTGGCCAAGCTAATGCCCACCCAGTGGAGAACCATCGCCCCAATTATTGGGAGAACAGCTGCACAGTGTTTGGAGCACTATGAGTTTCTTCTGTGAGTTCCTGCTTTACTAGAGATGCATAGCAGGAAAATCTGCACAATTTGTTGTATTGATGCATCATTCTCTTCTCCATTTATGCTAAAGAATGGTGGTTGCTAGTAGACTGAGTCCTTCCACTTGCTAGTATACTGAGTCCTTCCACTAGCAAGTCTCTAAGAATCATTTCTTTATTGTTGATGTGCGTAACACAAAGGAGGAAGCACATGGAATTCAGGAGAATGGGCTTGAATACAGTATTGTCAAGGCTGACACACTTTCTGAGCTTCAGTTTCAGGTTTATGTGGGTGTTGTTTGTCCTTCTGATAAGCATGAGTGAGTATGTGAGAGAGAGGAGGAAAACAAACAGCAGAAAACCCATGCTGTTGTAATGGCTGAATGTGCAGCCATCACTTCTATGTGCTACAGAGGGTTTCTTTGGACCATGAGAAGGAAAAATTGTTTTCCCTTGTGAGCTTTTTTAATTCTGATGATTGAGTTCTCTGCTGTCAGCTTTGTCAGTGTTATATTTTATATAATATTTCATTCTTGTATTACAGTATGTTGTTTTTTCCTTCTCATCTAATTTAATGTTATCTGAATTTACCGTGTTCATAAATCTTTTCTGCAGTTATGAATTATATGAGAAGTGTAATGTATGATACAAGCTTTCTTGTTTGATCCATCTGTGGAGAGTTTTGAGAAAGGGCTGGTTATGCACCTGCAGGAGTACAGAGCCCATTGTAACATGCATGCAATGTATTTTTAGGGACAAAGCTGCTCAGAGAGACAATGAGGAAGAAACTGCTGATGATCCTCGGAAACTTAAACCTGGTGAAATTGATCCAAATCCAGAAA